ATTCATTTCACAGACGTTCTTTCCAGCCATCCTATTGGAGGTCGACTGCTGGAAAGGAGAAGGGTCGTCTGGAAAATCCTATTTTCTTGTTTTTAGATAAAGCAAGTGGCACGCCTAACATCCAACTCACGTGGTAAAGGCCGGCTGAGGATTTTTTGAGGAAACAATCCTTTGTTGGCACGCCCGGTGGGACCAGTAAGGTGTATCAATTAAAGTTCACAGACCCTCTGTTTATACATCCAGAAGCGTCTGGAATCATGCCACCGAGAAAGAACAGAGACAAAGAGGTTCAGCCAGCCCAGGCTGAACATGCAGACGACAGCCCACTTCATTCTGAGGGTGAAAATGATCCCATCACTTTTCTCCCAGTGTCACCTTTAGCGGAACGGTCCTATGGGAATCCAGTGTTTAAGGAGAAAGAAGCAGACCGTGGAGGTGACTTTGCTGAATCAAGTAATATGTTTAGAGGTATGACTGAATGTCTGGATTTAGCATTCAAAGAACAGAACCAGGTTATGCGGAGACTTGTTGACAGTCAAACAGAATCTTCCAGACGTCAGGAAGAGTTAGTTAGACAATGTATAGAAGAGATGAGACGGATCTTCGAGGAAGGCACTAGGGTGATGCGAGAAACTGGGGAAGAAAGTCGCAGAACATTGCAGGCTGTTTCAGAACAAGTGGTTGAGCAAGTGCGACAGCCTAGACCTGAGATTCCTCCTCCAGTCGTTGAAATGCCCAGACAGATTCAGGAAGCCCCAATCCCAGTACTCGGGGGGCAAGGGAATCAGCCTCATCCTAACATTCCACAGCAGAATTTCTTCATGGGTGAGGGACAAAGACAGCATGAACCAATGGAGGCTGCTGCTCCTGTTGCAGACCATGGCCATCAACCTCAGCATAGGTATGTTCCGCTAGGTAGGAGGGGAAATGTAGGTCCTCATCATCAACCCTACCCAAGGGATTTTTTCCAGCCACAAGTTCCTCCAGCCCAGCCGGTACAGCGCGGTCTGCAGAATCACCCAGCTCAATTATTCAATAGAGATCAGCTAATAGATCTGGTACAAGAAACCTATGGACCAGCCTTGAGACCATTGGTGCGTCCAGCCTACAGGAAGCCTTATCCAGACATCATTGATCATGAAAATCCTTTTCCAAGGGGTTTTAAGGTGCCTGAGTTCACTTTATTTTCTGGTGAGGTTGGTCAGTCCA